TTGGGGGGGGGGGTGTACAAGTGTGTGTATGTATCTGTGTGTGTATGCGTGCTGGGTCTATTTAGCATTTAGCATGACCACTTTAGTATCAAATAATCAATTAGTGCCTCATCCCTAGGGAAAATAAATTCTCCCTCTCTTGGTAGTCATTAGTTGCTTATAGGGGCTGTTACAAGTAGGTTTTCCTGCCAGCCTGGACCCACCACAGCACCAGCCCCAAATAACACACAGAGATTCTGTATTTAATATTATGCTGTTGGCCAGGTACTAGTTTCTTATCGGCTAGCTCTGTCTTAATTATTAACCCATTTCTATTAATCTAAGTATTTCCACCTGGTCTCATCTTACCAGAGAGTGGGCTGGAGTTCTTCTCTCTCCCTTCTTTCCATCTTGACTCCTCCTTACTACTTCCTCGAATCCTCCTTGTTTCCTAGTCCCGCCTATCTTGCTTTCCTATTGGCCAACAGTGCTTTATTCATTAACCAGTATGAGAAACATATTTACAGAATGACATCTCCCATCAAGGGGCCTCTTGAAATTTCCCTCTTCCATGCTACACTGGTCTTGCCATTGTTTGGGGCCTTGTGTTAGGTAGGCAGCTGATGGGAGATGTCATTCTGTATATGTTTCTCATACTGGTTAATGAATAAAGCACTGTTGGCCAATAGGAAAGGAGATAGGAGGGACTAGGAGACAAGGAGGAAAGAGGAAGTAGTAAGGAGAGCCAAGATGGAGAGTCAGAGAAAGCAGAATGCCGGCCGGCTCCCCAGTAAGAGAAATACATAGATCAGCAGAAATGGGTTAATACTTAAGACAGATCTAGCCGATAAGAAACTAGTACCTGGCCAACAGCATAATATCAAATACAGAGTCTCTGTGCATTATTTGGGGGCTGGCTCGGCGGCAGGACAAGACTGGTGGCGGACGGTAAAACCATACTTCTTACAGGCAGCCATGGTGTTTCATTAGATGTCTCACTAGAAGACACCATCTTACAGCAGACTTCCTGATCCTCTGGCTCAATCAATCTTCTCCACATCTTCTTTCTCCATGTTTCCTGAGCCTTAGGTGCCAGAGTTATGTTTTAGATTTACCCATCAGGGCTAGGGACCCCATGATCAGTTGATCTCAGTATTGACCAGTTGTGGTTTCTGTGATAGTCTCCACCTGCTGTAAAAAGAAGCTTCTTGATGAAAGGTGAGAGATACACATATCTGTGGGTATACAGATAAGAATTTAGAGTACAGATAGGAATTAAGCTGCTTTGGTAAAGTGGTAGTGTTACAATAGATTTGATTACATTGTGTAAAGATATATCACTGTAATTGATTCCATATAAAGCTAAAAAGCCAAAAGCTAGGCAGGGGGTATAGGCAGAACTTCAGGGCAGAAAGAGAACTCTGGAAAGAAATCGGAATTGCCAGCTGGACACAGAGGAAGCAGGGCATGCAGGGAGAGAAAAAAGCCATGAGCCATATGGCAGCATGTAGATTATAGAAACGGGTTAAGTTATAAGAGCTAGTTAGAAACAAGCCTAAGCTAAGGCCAGTCTTTCATAATTAATAAGAAGTCACTGTTTGGGAGCTGGCTGGTGGGACAAAGAAAAACTCTTTACATGGTGGTAGGAGGTTCTATTCTAAATCCATGACCTCACTAGCCCTAGATAGCTGCATAACTTTAGTCCAATTAGACAGCCCTAGATAGCTGCATAACTTTAGTCCAATTAGACAGCTGTTGGTTACCACCAAGACTTGAATGCCACTATTGTACCTTTAGAGATAGCTTGCCCTGTTAGTCATTTTTGTGGTTTATAGGTGTCACAGGTGGATAAGACAGTTCATTGCTTCCCTCCCTTGGTGGCTTGCACAGACCTTCTGGTTCTACAAAAGCTGGTCCTTACAGAAGAGGCATTCATGTCAGATCCAGCTGGAATCTTCCAAGTCCTGTGTTTGAAGTACAACCTCTGGAAGGCAACCAAGGGCAACAGCAATGGCCTGTATTGTTTTGGAGCTCTCTTGAACTTTCCTGACCAACAACTTAAAAACAGGTTTTTCAAGCCTGGTGCTAGCCTTTTGTTGGATGACATATATTCTAGGTATTAATCCTCTACTGATGCATAGCTGACACAGTTGTCTCCTTTTCTATAGAGTGTCTCCTCAGATGGTTACCTCCTTTGTTGGGCAGAAGTTTTATTAACTACAGGCAACCCCATTCTTCAACATTTAGAATTATTTCCTGTGCTGTGTGCATTTTAAAATTTTAAGTGTTTTATATATGTTTTCCTCTTGAAGCTTCAGTTTCAGACTTGACTCAAAGGTCTTTGGTCCACTTTTAATTCATTGTTGTACACAGGAGAAGATACAGATCTGGTCTCATTCCACACATGGAAATTTGGTTTTCCTAGAACCACTTGTTAAAGAGGCTCTTTGTCAATGTTGTTGTTGACAACTTTGTCAAAACTTAGATAGCCATAGCTGTATGACGGGACTGGGCTCTCACAGCTGTATGACGGGACTGGGCTCTCACAGCTGTATGACGGGACTGGGCTCTCACTCACTTGCATTGATCTACACACATTTCCAGTGCAGTCCTGTTTCAGTCGCTATGCCCCCAATGTTGCTCATTCTGTTCTATTGCTTTGGTTATTGTGTTTTGAGCTTCCATTTGATTTTAGGATTTTTTCCCCCTAATGATATAAAGAATGTCATTGGGACTTCTCTTAGGGTTTCTGTTGCTATGAAGAGACATCATGACCACAGAAACTTTTTTTTTTTTAACTTTTTATGAGCATTAGTGTTTTGCCTGCATGTATGTCTGTGTGAGGGTATCAGATCCCCTAGAACTGGAATTACAGACAGTTGTGAGTTGCCATGTGGGTGCTGGGAATTGAACCTTGGTCCTTGGGAAGAGCAGCCAGTGCTCTTAACTACTGAGCCTTCTCTCCAGCCCCCACAGCAACACTTATAAAGGGTAACTGATGTGGGATGTCCTTCTGTATGCTGCAAATATGTGTTGCTTTTATTGGTTGATGAATAAAACTGTTTTGGCCAATGGCTAAGCAGAGTAAAGCCAGGCAGAAAATCCGAACAGAGAAACAGAGAGAAGGTGGAGTTGGGGAGATGCCATGTAGCCACTAGGGAGGCAAGATACCAGGGCATCACTGGTAAGCCATAGCCATGTAATGACACACAGATTAGTAGAAATGGGTTAAATTATGAGAGAGCTAGCCAACAATATGCTTAAGCCATTAGCCAACAATTATAAATGTATATTAAATCTCTGAGTGGTTATCTGGTGAGCTGCTGTGGGGACCCAGTGGGTGGAGAGAAACTGGTCCAGGGGGACCAGGCAGAAATGCATAAGAGCTTCCAACCGCTGAAAACATTTGATTATAGTGGCTCTGTCCCTTATCATCATGGCAGGACATGGAGGCATGAAGGTAGTACTGGAGGAGCAGGAGCTCTACAGCTTGCAGGCAACAGGGGTGAACTGAGACACTGGTGGGGGCATGGGAGGGTGGGAGGGAGGCAACTAGGATTGATGTGTAAACTAAGATTACTCTAAATCAAATCAACTTTACCAGGTTTGGATACCTGGGTACCAGCGACTTCGAACAGTGAGTGGCAGGGTCCCCAGTGTGCTTTTCAGATGAGGTCAGAGGGCTTTCTGGAGTCAGCTCACTTCTCCGTGTGGTTCCAGGTAAAACTCACGTCACCTGGTTTTCCCATGGAGCCACCACGCTGGCCTTGAGTTACTCCTCTCTGTGCACTGCCCATCTTTTTCTCTTTACTTATCAGGTATCTTAAAGTTGCTTTTATGAATCTCCAAAGCTCCTCCTTTCTTTAAAATAGCCTGTTCTTATTCAAACTTCTCCCTTATGGGGGTCACAGTGCGAAAGCTTCTAAAATACCTCCTTTCCTGGAACCCCCGATTGCGTTTTCTGAATAGTTAGGCAGGTAAGTGGGTGGGGATCCGGAAAGAGCTGGGAGTAGGGAAGAGGGAGGGAGGGGAGAAAAGTGAGTGTTAAAACACTATGAACCGTGGCAGGTTGCTGGCACTTGACAACTCTGGAGGGACAGATAAGCAATCAATACACCAGTGAGGATTTAGACAACAGAGAAGGAAAAACTTGAACATCAATCTGCCAAACACTGACCAGCCCTCCCATCACCCAGCTTCACCAGCAGCAGACTCCTACCCACACCAGCTCAATTTAGTCTTCATACAAATATTTTACAGTTTTATTTTTAAATCATTTACACATATGCATACAAAGAAAAATAAATTTCAGGATGGAACCTTGGGATCATGGCAGTTTAAAAAAATCTCTGATCATTAGCTCCTGAAGACAAGGCAAGCCGCTTAGCAGTCACTTGGCAGGGGGCATGTGTGTCCCCAGGAGAGAACAGTGGAGAAGAATGCAGCTGCTCCTTCGCACCCCTTGGTCTTCACCTTGTGGAGGTACTATGCGGGGAGGGGATTTTCCAATGCTACCCCCTTCAAATGTTTAAGAAGGCTTATGGTAACACTGACCACCCGCCCCCCCCACCCTCCGCGCGCGCACACACACACACAGACACTCAGTTGGGAATTTGGCAAGAATACAGCTTCTGAACCAGTTTGCTATGAGAGTTTGTTCTCTTCCTACTTACAGGTCTCTCAAGGGGCAGAGCCTGCAGTCCTGACCACACCCCCTACTGTCCCACCTCAGACTCTGGGCTCATCCCACAAATGAGCGCCCTCCCTCCCTCGTAGCCCATGCTCCCTGCAGTGATGGGCCCCAGCCCTGAGTGTCCACTGCTTCTACAGTGTCCACCACAGGGGACAGAGTCCCGGCTCACTCCCACGAGTGACAAAACTATGAGCAAGTGTCCCAAGCTCGGCTCTGGGGAGCAACATCAACGTTTCCCTTAACAGGCCAACAGCTAGCATCCTTCCCATACAGTATCACAGCTGCCAGGAGAACCTCTTATAACTGCCCGAGGAAGCTGAATTGTTACCAATTCCCAGTAAGAGTAGGGCGAGGAGAGACTTACAAATGTGGTAGACCCTAACACAAACGGCAGCTGATGACAACAATTTCCCTATGTCGTTGGGTCCTACCCGAAACTCAGCACCAGGAAAGGGCATGATGAGCAGAAAGAGATCTGTAGCTGGGTACATAGCCCTTGAATTACCAAGGGACAGAGACAGCTCATTCCCTACAATTATGTAGGACCTAGGACACAGACCATGCACCCCTACGTCGAGGCAGCTCCTGAGAGGTCGTACCGCTTGTGGTCATCAGCCCAACCCCTTGGTAGGCCCATTGGAGGAGAGGGAGTCACATCCAGAGCGAGAACCCCTCTAGGCAGACACTCACAGGGCAGCCCATCCCACTGTCACTGGGGCAGGCCAAACATAGCTAGGAGGGCAGACAGATCCCGAGCATCAGCTGCCCCATAGGCATCACTCTGGCCTAACATAGATAAGGCCAATCGCAGGGTACTCCAGATGTTCTCCGACATGGCGCCCCCCTCGCCCCGAGGGCCCCGGCTCTTCCTCTGCATGTTCAGAGCCTCTAGAAAGTGTTCCACAGCCTCTCTGTAGGGAAGAGGAGAGATAGTGAGGGAACAGCAGTGAATGAGGCGCATGGGGAATGGGGAGGGAGGAGAGGGAGGGAGGGAGGGAGGGAGGGAGGGAGGGAGGGAGGGAGGGAGGGTCATAACACGAGGAGCCCGAGACAAGATGCATCTGCTCACAAAGGAGCCCATCCTCACCGGTGAGCCCCAAGGTTGATGCAGCTGATGCCTAGGTTATAGCGAGACCGGATATACCCAGGCTGTAGCTCGAGGGCTCTGCGGTATGCGGCTACAGCTTCTTCGCTCTGGTTCCCATTGGCCAGTGTGGCCCCAAGTTTGTTCCACAGCAAATAGTCCTGGGACAGAGAGAGAGAGAGAGATCTGGGAATAGGAGCTAGGCCTCTGGACAACTTCCATCAATTCTGCCACCCACTTCACTACTGCTTGGTTAATGCAGGTCACTAACCCACTCTCTTGCCCTCAGTAGCTCCCAGCGTGCTCACTAGGTCACCCTGTGGCAGTCACACCTCCCTCCCGCGTCCATACACCCCCTGTCCTCCCCCCCCCACCCCCTTTCCCTTCCCAGTCTTCCCAAGGCTGTCGTGAAATCTCCCATGTGCAAATGACTCTTCAGCCGTCTTCCCCTGAGACTCACATTGGGACGAACACTGAGGGCAGCCGTAAAGCAGTCCACGGCCTTGCCGTACTCCCCGCTCAGGTTGAAGAGGACTCCCAAGCCACACTGCACATCAGGGTCGATGGATGTGGGGTCCAGACGCACAGCTGCCAGGAAGAGTTCTTTCACTTCGAGAAACAGGGAGCTAGGGAAGGAGAAGAAAAAGCACACAGCTAGGTAGATGGGTCCGTCTGTATTCCTAGCCCCCAAAACAACCCCTTAAAAAGTCAACCATACTCCCAAGATTCATCACTGTATCTCGTTTACCCAAACTCCACTTCCCAGCCTGCTTTGTTCATCACAGCCCTGCATGGTAGAATGGTAACCTCCTTCAAGCTGACCCTGGGTAAGCCATTTCACTCTTAGACTGTTGGACTCGGCATCCTGAAACTTCCCTCCTCACCCTAGGAACCCATGCACTCACTCAGACAACAGGGATCCCAAGACACGCTTGCTGGGACCCAGTCCTGCCCCACTCGCCCCTTCTTCACCAGGGGTCACCAGATGGGCATAGGCCGGTGAGTAGCGCAGCCAGTCTCGCAGGGTCTCACAGGCCTGCCGCTGCAGGGACTCGTTGGTGAAGCTTACAGCCAGCGCCATCAGTGCTGTCCGGTTATCTGGCTTCAGCTCCAGACACCTGATGGCACAAAGATGAGCAGACTGAGAATCTACACATGACACCAGCAGCCCTCAAGCACCAGGAGCCCATGACCAAGCTTTGAAATACACTCATGAATGCCTCACTTCTGCCTGCTCGGGTCAACACAGAGAAGAATCCTCTGGCCTTCGAGTTAATATTAAAGATCCCAACCCTGAGAAGGCAAAGCTTCAGCAGGCAAAGACCAACCAGGATCCCACAAATACAATCAAAGCTGACGGAGGATCAGAATCAAGCCTTCCGCTCACTCCTCCAGTCATTACTGAGCCATGCTGACTCAGGACAATCTCAGATTCATTCGTATGCTAGTGGTCAGAAAAGACAAGGCCCTGGTTCTGGTACCTGTTAGACTAAAGGCCGACATCTACATGTACCTGCCCTCACGGTGGCACACTCACCTCCGCAGGGCACTGATAGCCAGGAGCTCTTGCTCATTCTCAGCCTGGGTGGTACCCAGATACTGCCAAGCCTGGAGAGAAGTTGACAATTCCATCACTGACTTTGTGTCTGTCCTCTCCTCCATGGGCTTCCCCCACGCACCATCTCACTGGCAGCTGGAGGAGACCACACCCCATCTGCATGCCTCTCTGGGTCCCCCCCACAAAACTGGACGAAGCCCACTCACTTCCATGTGCTTAGGGTCCTGCTGCACGGCAGCCTCAAAAAGCAGCACAGCATTGGGCAGGTCTCCCTCCTCAAGTCGACGCAGTCCTTCTTCAAAAGCCTGAGGGTGGTCCCGCAGGGGATTCTCCTCCTCAAACTGGTACCCCTAGAAAGAAGAGAATCGAGGGGGAGAACTCCTAAGAGGGGATCTAGGCAGTCAGGGCAGCAGGGCTGGGAAACCAGCAGTCAAGACAGGTGGAGAAGGTGAAGGCTTCCTTCCACGCCGGTGCAGCAAAGTCTCCGAATCGTGAGGCCCATCCATGACAAAGTGAAGGGGAGTGTCAACTCACTGCCATCTGCTATTCATAGTGAAGGAAGCTGGCTGAGGCTGGAAGTATCTATGCTGCAATTATAAACTTATTTTAGGAGGCCTTCCCAAGCCTGCATTGCCATATCTTCAACTTCTCTCCACTGGACAGAGCGCGCCTCTCCACGGCACCCGCCTATCACAGTGAAAGCTCACCTCAGGGCCCAAATCCTAGTGTGATGGTGGGTGAGGGGACTGTGACATCAGTCAGAGGCCCCGCCTTCAAGGCAAGGCTTGCCCAACTCAGGGACTGCATGAACTGACTGGGTGCATCAGAAATAATTTATTCCCCATAACTACATTTGTTTGTTTCTTTTGTTTTTGTTCATTTGTTTTTTTTTTAGGTGGGGTCTTGCTATGTAGCTGAGGCTGGCCTCAAACTCACAGCTTTCTTCTTGCCTTGACTTTACAGACATAAGCCACCATAGTGGGCTTCTAGACTTTAAATACAACCGGGATCCCAAAATCTAGCTGGCACAGAACACTTCTACAAGACACTGATCTCTTCCAGCTGGGGGGATTCTCAACTGAGCAAGTTACAGTGCCGCCTCAAAAGCTTTGCCAACTAGCATTTGATGTGAACAGGAGGAGGACAAGATGAGGCCAAAGTCACTGGTAAGCCACAAGGCTTTGGACAAATAAAACATTCCTTTGGGGGAAGTTACCGTCACAAAAAAAGAATGAAAACCATATGCAGGTCACCAGACAGTTTGGTGAACAATTTCAAATACAGTACAAACATGGAGAACTTAGCAGTAAACTGTACAGAATAAAGACAAGACGTCCGTCCTGTTTGATTATCATTGTGAAACAACGAATCAGAAGGGCTACATTCTATAGTGCAAGTCATTGCTGTAAAGGACAATTAACAACTTCAGTGGGGTTCAAAACATGAGACTGGCTGCTGGAGATGGCTTTGAGGGAAATGTGTCACATGGATAGTTGGGAATATTAAAAATTCCGTAAAAACCCTACTACAAAGGATAGCATGCCTTCTCAGTAAGTGACCAGACAATAAATGTCACACCTTGCAGGTTCTACTGCAACTACCCAGCTCCACCACAAGAGGGCAAAAGCAGCCAGGGGCAGTATGCAATGAGCATGGCTATGTCATCATCAAATTTTACTCATGGACATTCTCAGCCATTGAGCCATTTACAAATGAGTGGCAAATCCACTTATCTACAGGTCACACATGCTCTAGATCACCTGAATTCAAAAGAATAAATATGTTTACACTCAACCTTAACTGCTATCCATCAACCCATCCTTTAATGACACTCCGTGGGAAGCAGATTGTTACATATGATGTAATTTCCTAATTAATGTAATTTATGCCTCAAAGCTACTGAAAGCCTTACTAAAAGTCTTAAGCGCTGCCCACTAACAGTGGCTGTAGCTACTTCCTGAAGGTAGAAGGCCTGTGTGTAGCAGCCAGCAGTGATGAATGTTCTCATGTCTCTACAAGACAATGTGACGAATGAATACAATCATCTCCCGAACAGGAGTTCCCTCTGGACCCTATTACCTATAATTTTAAGGTCTCATCAATTACTGCTCAAAGAGTTATTAACTATTATCCCCCTGTGCAAAAAGAAAAGATTTGCAGAGATGGGAAAAGAACCCTCTGAAGGAGCCCTTCACAGCCTACAGAGTGCAGAGAGCTGAGCACTGCTCTGCATTCTGAAAGCTCTAACCCAGCCAGTCATCTGGTCTGATCCACTGCCCTGGGCTGTTGCAAACTCTCACAGGATCACACTGTGGATACAACATGGCTTCTACATCACAGAAACTCTTTTCCTAACAGTGACAGTGTCTCTTTAGGCCACGTGTGTATGAAAAAAAGTCTAAGGATTATCAATAAAAAATGCTTAATTCTAAAAAGTATAAAGAGGGATGAGGAGATAGCTGAGTGGATAAAGCAGACGTAGGCAAGCAGGAGGATCAGAGTTCAGATCCCCAACTCCCAAGATTAAAAACCAAGCAAGCATGTGTTCCCATTGGAGAGTGGATCCCCAAGGCAAGCTGGCCAGCTAGACTACAGCTTTGTCAATGAGCCCTGGGTTCATGAAGAGAGAAAGAGGAGAGATGACAGAGAGAGAGAGAGAGAGAGAGAGAGAGAGAGAGAGAGAGAGAGAGAGAGAGAAAGAGACTTTGCCCTAGGCAGGAAAGTAGAAAGCAACAAAGAAAGACACCTCATCATAATACCTGGCCTCAACACACACATGCACACCAGACACATGCAAAAAAAAAAAAAAAAAAAAAAACAAGTAACAACTAAAAAGCACACAAAGACCCATGAACCCACTTTTAAAGTATTTCATATAATTCAGTACAACTTAGCTTAAGGACAGACAGAACATAACTTCACTATTAGTAAGTAATAAAAAGGAGCATTTTTGTGAAGCATTAGTGCAGGGTTTTCTAAGCCAAGTTTTGCAAGATTTCAAGGTATCACTAACATCAAATAGGGTTCATGGATCTAATAACGTAATTATATTTTTTGTTTGTTTTGAAACACAATGTCGAGTTAGCCTAATTTACAATTCTCCCAACTTAGCCTCACAAGTGCTAGGTTACAGGTGTGTACCACCATGCCTGGTTCCCTCATTATAGTTTTAACTTTTCTACGTATTTGGCCCAGCATGTCTTAAATTTAGCACTTAAATAGTAAATGCTAAATCCAGCTTCAAATTTAAAAAGTTAGTCTGTGAAGTATGTCATAAATTCCAGAGTAATACTGCTCTTATGAGAACAGTGCTTATGTCTCCATTTATCAAATGTATGGAAATGCTAATTATAAGTCAACAACATATCAAACTATTAATGTAGGGCAACAAGAGTGTTATTCTATAAGAGGAATTTATACTGTGGCAAAGTACAAAGTGAGATTCCCTAGAAGGAAGCAGCCCCTCGATGCACCACACAAGGCCATTCTTGGACAAGCCCAGAACACATGGAAACACCACGGTCCCATTTTCCCTTGCAGCAGATTGTTCTGAGGCTCTCGACCCATGACCTTCTTCTCACAGTCCCTGAACTTCCTTCCTCCAGCTTGGCACATCTCCCTACGTCAACATTCACCTCCACCACCCAGCTCCACAGCTCAGGGCCTGGTCCTTCCTCCTCCACAGCTGAGCTGAGAAAGAGGTGTTACTCTGATGGGGCTGTCCTTCTGTCTGCTGTGAATATATATTTCTCTTACTGGTTGATGAATAAATGCTGATTGGCCAGTAGCCAAGTAGGAAGTATAGCCCGGGCTACCAGACTAGGAGAATTCTGGGAAGAGGGACACAGAGAGGAGCCGCCAGGGAGAACCATGTAGCTGAGGAGGAAGCAAGAGGGCCAGGTATCAGTAAAGCAAGACAAAGTGGAGACACACAGATGAACCGAAATGAGTTAATAATTGAGAGAGAGCAAGCCAAATAGGAAGCCTGAGCCATCAGCAAACAGTTTATAATTAATATAAGCCTCAGCGTGCTTATCTGGGACAGGACAGGACAAAAACCTCTCATCATCATTATTCCATTCCTGTTGTCTTCCCCTTCATGTTTCAACTCAGAGGCTCAATTACCAGCCACGTCCCCAGAGATCCTGAAACTCATAAGCAGATTTACTCACAAACACCTAAGCCAAAAGCACACATTACATGCAAAAATCCAAACATCTTCACCACAGACTACTGGGAAATGTTCCTATTGTTTAAATTAGTAATGTAATTCTTTGAAATCCTGAACTGGGACAAGAGCCTGGTTCCTACAAAAGATCAGAACTCAAATGAGAGCTGAGGGCATAGCTCAGTGGGATAGTTAGTCCTTCCTAGCACACACCACCCCTGGTTTGATCCCCAGATTGAACTCACTAGCTAAAAAAAAAAAAAAAAAAAAAAAGGACATACATGTCACAGCTTGGACAGAGAAACTACCATTGTCCAGCAGAACGACCAGCAGCAGATAAATTGTCTCAGTACAACCTCCAAAGAGGACCTACCCATCATGTGTAAGTCTCCCTCATGGGCATTATGTCACTGTATGATGTGCAGAGGTATTCTTACTAACTGCTACATCTTAGGACCATTCAATTAGTGGACATCAAGAGCCAAGGTATCATCAGACTCCACAGAAAGAGGCTCAAAAGCAGCAATGGCTTCAGCATGGAAACTCTTCCCATTCAGAACCTGGAAAGTCAGGGGCTCCTACCTTGTCGTAGGAAGCGGATGTGAGGTCATCATAGTCAGACAGCCAGGGGTGCGCCTCAGCATCCCGTTTTGCCATCTCCTCCAACTCTGCCTGCAACTTGTCCCAGAAATCGACATCAGACTGTAAGGAAGGGAGGGCAGATAGAGAAAGGCAGTGTGTCGTGACCACCCCACCCACCCTCCACTCTACTGAGGTGTGTCCCTAGGGCAATAGGTCTTAAACTTCAACATGTTCAGCAACCATCAGAGAAGCTTTGCAAAATGCAAATTTTCCAACCATCCCCCAAGATTCTGATGCAGAAATCTGGAATGATGTCCAAGAATTTGCATTTTTAAAAAACACGTATCCCACATCTACGCAATTGACACAGATGACCCAGCACACTATGAGACAATGCCCATCACCTCTGACACTAACAAAGCCATACTGCCCCTGGGAGGAAATGGCCCTGGGGCACTTGTGTCCACACCAGCTGTTCTCACCTCTATTGCTGACTTGGCTCGCTCAAATTCCACATCAAGGGCAGCTGTGTTGTTTCCTGATCTTGTGAACTGATCGACCCAGGCCTCTGATGTGTCCTGTGACAAAAGATGATCAATGCCACCTCACCAACTTCCTTCCCATTAACAGTGACTGAGAGCCCACTAGACACCACCAGCCTGGATACTCTCAGAATCTTTCCCCCACCCACTCATGATCTAGACGCCACAAGGCAACCTGTCATAAAGTCCCTTCCCACTGAACACTGGCCCCACCTTAGGCAGCAGTCTTCAGGTGGGCTGGGGAGTGACAATGTCCTACCTGCTGCTGTATAAACTCTGCTGCCCACTGCTCTGCCTGAGCTCGGCCCGACCCTGCAGCGGACTCCAGGGACACCTGCCCTCGCCAATCTGTCGCACGAATTTCAGGAACTGGGGCACAGAGACACACATAGGCACCTTGGGACAGGACTTCTAGGTGCACACTCTCAACTATGCCCAAGGAGACCCTGCACTCGCCCCTCCCTAAACACCTCTAGCTGCATCGAGATAACGCTAAAGACACTAAAAAAAAAAAAAAAAAAAAAAAAAAAGCAGAGATCAAACACTTAAACATGGGGGAGGGGTTCTGCCCCTCCAGAGTTGAGAAGGCACAGAAAAGACAATGGGTTTGCAGACAAAGATATGAGGAAAATAGTGGGAAGATGCAGCCAGATCCAAAATCTCCATTCTCCAGAAGGAAGACAGTTCTAGAATCTCAGTGCCACTTTACACCATCGTAGAGTGAAGGAAAGACGGCTTCTACCTTCAGTCCCAGCTCTGCCGAGCACAGCAACAGGAGGCAACTCACCTCCAGAGTTAGCCAGTTTGGGGTCGTCCACTTTGGACACAAAGTCACTGGCTGTGTGCCGCAGGTCCTCCTCGGGATGGTAGTCATCGTACCTGTGGCGAGCAAGCAGGCTTAGGCCATCCACCCACTGCCCATGCTCTTCCCCAGTCCTGGCCCACAGCAAACACTGCTGTTCTTGGGAGGAGAACAACAATGCTATCCCACTATGGCAAGGAGCTGCAAGCTCCAGTACAGTAAAGAGGGTATCTCAGTGGAAGCTGCAAAGAGAAGAAGAGAATAGCATGCTCGGAGAAACATGGTTAGACAGTTACAAATCCCTAATAGGTGAAATACCAGTAATGCTAATGGGAATGTTAATAAATGAAGTAGAAAAGAAAAACCTGCAAGCTGCATGTGGGTGGAGAATATGGACGGGGGAGGCTGGGCAACTGCCCAAATCATACTTTTTATGCCATCCAAGAAAGAGACTGAACTCACCACCGATCGGTGGCAGATGATCCCTCTGGCTCTCCCAACCACAGCTTCTCCTCAGACTGCTCCAGATACTCCTCAGCCCATCGGGCGGGGGACACGGACAAGGGGTCTGCAAAGAGCAGTTGTGGAACTCATCAAGACTCCAGTGTAAGATAGAGAAAGTAGTGCAGATTCACTGACCCACTTAGCCAAACCTAAGCACACAGAACCCTGGAGAGCCCCTCCTTGGAAGAGAATTCTAATGCACCCAACATCCTCTTCACTGGCTGAGCTATTCCCAAGGGGGCCAAATGGAAGTTTATGGAGAGCTGGGAAGAGCAGACCTACTAAGGAAGATCTGGAAATAACTTAGCACTCCCAAGGCTGAACCAGAAGGCTGGAAAGTTGAAGCCTATAGAAAGAGCCTATCTTTAAAGGATGGTAGGGTAGAAAGACGTCTCAGTGGTTAAAAGCACTGGCTGTTCTTCCAGAGGACCTGGGTTCAATTCCCAGCACCCATATGATAATTCACAACTGACTGTAATATCTTAGTTCCAGGTGCCCTCTTCTGACCTTAAGGAAACCAAGCACACAAGTAGGTGTACAGACACATGTAGAAAAATACACATAAAATAATTTTTCAAAAATCTTTATTAGTGTATATCAGTTGTACAAAATTGGGGCTTCAATACACCATTTTCATACATCCATATAATGAATTTTAATCACATCAACTCCTCTTTCTTTGGGGGAATGGAGGTTTTAGGATGTCTCTCTATGTAGTCCTGGTTGTCCTGGAACTCACTACATAGACCAGGCTGGCCTCAAAACCACTGAGATCCACTTGCCTATGGCTAGGATAATGGCAGGAGCCACCATGCCCAGCCACACACACACACCCTTTACTTCCCAACTTCCCCTCCTCTTTCTTCCTTCCCCCTTCACCAGCCTTCCAAATCCTTTTCGGTGACATCTACAGTGCTCAGTAAGAAGCAGGGAGCAGCCAGGCTCCTTTACAGGAACTATATATAAAGTATCAAGTACAGTGTACACCAAACCTGGACACTCCACAGCACTCACAACCCACTTGGGGAGAGTCAGAGCTGCACGAATCCTCATAAGAGGCCCCTACACCCAGAGATAATTCTATCCTGACTCTTGTCGCCGTGTTGTTGCTGTTTGGGGCTTTTTAAGACAGGGTCTCACTATGTAGCCCAAGCTGGCCCCGAACATTTAAATAGGCCATGTTTTTCAGTCAAATTCTAAAGTTATCTTAGAAACTCTAGTGACAAAGGGCACCAGAAACATGGGAACAAACACTAAATGAGGGCACTGAACTGTTTCTCAACTCCTTGAACTTTGTCCTACCAAGCAAGCAGTGAGCAGATTAGTGTTGCCGAGGTAGCAGAGAAGGCACAAGCCCAGGTTCCACCTTCTACTCTGTCCCCATCTTTACATCCCAGATGCCGACAAGGTAATCCAATCCCCAACTGGAAGGTGTGACTGTCCTGCTGTAATACTGAGAAAGCACCTCATGCCCTTAGGATTGATGTACATCCCACTTTACCTAAGACTTGGCCTGAACAATTTCAACAAAGCATTCTCAAACTCTGAGAAAAGAATGTCAAACTCTTAAAGAAAAAGAGCCAAGGGTCTCAGAATACACACACCTAATTGTGAGAAGTCGTGCATAATTAGCATAATATGCTGAATATGATGAATAACTGTTTGGGTTTACAGATCCCATGTTTTAATTTCAAGGACCGTCAACAACTACAGGCTCTGTTCTCAGGGCCTCGGGTAACATTTTTCTACTTCCCTACCATAAGTAGATGGTGGCTTATATATGGAGACTGAAAAACAAATGTTTAACATCAAAACAGATTTGAGTAACAACTCCCAGCTCCTTAGTCCTGATCTGTTGAAAAAGAACCATTCTCCTGCTCACTCTCCATTGCCTCCTTACTCTCACTTTGGCTGTGAGAGATCCTGAGACCACAGTCACAAGCTACTTCTGTAGAATATCCTCACCAACAACAAAACAACAGAAAAATCTACACTGTCTGGACTTTACCACATGCACACCACACTTTAGGGGCAAAAGAAACCAGGTGACAAGCACCATCCTTACATTCTACAATTCAGGTCAGGGTGTGCACATCAGTGTTAAATTCCTGCCTAGCATTCGAAAGGGCATGAGTTCAATCCCCAGCTATTACAACAGTAATAGCAACAACAACCTAACACAGTTTGACGCTGGGTCTCAAGACGCTGAATTTTCCAGCACTAGGAACCTGCCCCAACAAAGGGATTAGAGAAAATAACCAAATGAACAACATTTGGCTTCACAACCTTTTTGAGAAATCCTTACAGAAAACCAGATCCATTTGGACACACTTGGAACTGAAGCAATAAAGACCAAAGAGAAACAGTGATTGTCTTAGGTCACACATAAGCAGAGTTTGAGCCAATGACCTGGATATCACATTCCTGTTTGCATCATACTTCTCACAGAGCACATCTCCTACAAGTGGAAAAGTCAAACACTCAACGCCCTACTCTAAGCAGTGAGAGTTCTGTGGAAAGGAGTGTAGGTTCTAGAGTGAGCCTGAGGTCACCCACATTCAAACCCCAACTCCACTGTGTACTTCAGAGTAGATACTTTAACTTCTAAGTTTCCACTTCCTTATCTATAAAACAGACAGTAACAAACAGCTCATAGGGGTGTCTGCAAAATTATAATTCAGAGGCCAGGCAGTGGTAGTGCACAACTTTAATTCCAGCCCTTGGGAGGCAGAGACAGGTAGATCTCTGTGAGTTCAAGACCAGCCTGGTCTATAGAGTGAGTTCCAGGACAGCCAGAGCTATATAAAGAAACCCTGTCTCAAAAAACAAAACAAAACAAAAATAATAATAATAAATAAAATAAAAGGCAGTACAAAGCCGGCTGCTATCATTACTGTCTGGGGAGGGCAAACCTTACAGAGCATCACAGGGAGACTGTCGCTCCTCTACTCCATAGCTGCTCCTCCTCTTTTCAGGGAAGAACTAGCACCAGCACATTCTGCCAGTGCTTCTGGCGACTTTTCCTGTAACAGCACAAGCTGGTAGTTCATAGCTGCCCTATGACCTTCACACACTGTGGTGGCCATTCTTGCTTGTCATCTTCACTACATCTGGAATTAACTACAACCCAACAAGCTGGGAACTTTTTCTTAATTAAAACATTTGAAGTGGGAAGACCTACTTTTTTTTTGGGGGGGGGAGTCAGACAGGGTTTCTCTGTATTACTTTGGAGCCTTCCTGGAACTCGATCTGTAGACCAGACTGGCATCAAACTCACAGAGATCCGCAAGCCTCCGCCTCCCCGAGTGTTGGGATTAAAAGCGTGCACCACCAAGGCCAGGCTTGGGGAGACTTCCTTTTAGTCTGGATCTTCTGGACCACAACTTTGCTGCTGCCTGTAGATTAAGGCTGGAAGTCACATCTATTCCAGACATGGAAGAAGCAAGCTTGCACTCCACTCTCCCTGTTTGCTCTCCTCACTGGCAAGCCCATTCCTTTACTGGCATCAGAACCTATGTCTTTGACATTGTGACATACTAAAGACCAGCTGAGACATCTAGCCTCATGAACTAAACAACTACTGGATTCCTGGACCTCCAGTTGGTAGACAGACATTGCTGAATTAGCTGGGCCACAGCTTGTAAACCACTCTAATAAATCCTCCCCCCCCCCCCCCGTGTGTGTGTGTGTGTGTGTGTGTGTGTGTGTGTGTGTGTGTTTTCTGTAAGTTTCTGTTCCTCTAGATAACCCTGATTAATTAATACACACAGTATTATGTCAACTGAGTCCGTCTAAATTCAGAATACCGCAGGCTGAGTTTTATCTCCAGATTTGAGTAAACACAAGATGCCAACTGGCCAGAAAACACAACAGATGCTTCTATCAGTAGTATGAGAGACCAAAAAGGGGGGATGGGTCTTGTATAGTGATGGACTAAGTCTTGACTGGGTGCTTATGCAAATCTACACAGCTGATGAAGCTGCATAATACTGTTCACACACAGATAATGAATGGAATGCAAAACTGAGGAAAACCAATGAGCTATATGAAATGTACCAAAGTGGATCTCCTGATCACCACAGGGAGAATCTGAGGTCGTAACAGAACTTTCCTGAATGTTTTCTTTTTATTTATTTTTCTGAAATTAGCAGTAAGACTATAAAATTTTCCATATAAAAAAAAAAAAAAAAAAAAAAAAAACAACTAGCCAGGTGGTAGTGATGAACACCTTTAATCCCAGCACTTGGGAGGCAGAGGCAGGTGGATTTCTGTGAGTTAGAGGCCAGACTGGTCTAACCCTGTCTTGAAAAAAAAAAAAAACAAATAAAATAAAAAGATGAGCTTCAAAGTTCCTTTTGAGTAATTCTAGAATATTAAACATGGGAATTAAAAGATAAAAAGAACCTACAAAGCCTATAATCCCAGCACTTGGGATACAGAGGCAAAACTCAGTTCAAAGCCAGCCCAGGCTATATAGTAAGACCTTTTCTCAAAAAAAAAAGGGGGCGGGGCATAAGGGTACATGCCAGTAACCATAGTAACCATAACGTTCACCAGAGACAGCCACAAATGTAAGCCAACCTGATATACAAAAGCAAGCTGGAGGCACAGCAGGGCTACAGTGAGATTATTGTCTCACAAACACCAAAAAATAATTAGCTAGTAAGACTTTTTAAAGTACAGGATTTTGTTTCGAATCTACTTGCCCATAAAACAGTTAACTCATATCATTGACATACCAGCCACAAACACTAAGAGAAAGACATTTTACAGCATGAACTCTGGGGCTGCAGAGATGGCTCGGTGGTTAGGACACCAGCTTATTTAAAGGTTCTTCCAGGTGACCTGGGTTCAATTTCCAGGCCCCATTTGGCAGCTAACAACAATCTCAAACTCCAGTGCTAGGGGATTTGACAGCCTTTTCCAGCTTCTGCAGGTAATGCATATATGTGACACACAGACAAACATGCAGGCAAAAAGACCCATATATATAAAATAATAATAATAAAAATAAGAAATCTTTTAAATAAATTATGAATTCCTAGCAAGTAAATTTCTTTCAGCTTTTGCTCCCAACTCTCCACTTGTTCATTCACTATCAAAGGTCTACTACAACGGGACAGTTTTACAGAGACCACTTGCACACGGCACCATTCCAGGTACCCACATCCGGGCCTCTGTGAAGCAGGAATAGTTGCAAACAAATGTGCAAACCGGATGAGCTCTCCAAAGACAACCAAGCAGGTGAGGCAGGTCCAACATGTTTTTCTAAGGCTGTTCTCATTTGTGAATTAGGGGAGATGTCACAGGCAGGAAGTAATTAGTTATAATAAAATCAGGCTCACATTGTGCTTTGCTGAACAAACAGTTTGTTTGTTTGTTTGTTTGTTTTGCCTGTTAGCTTTAAATTATGGAAATGACTAATGCCCACCCATTCCAACCAGTCACTCTGTACTAAGGTTTGTGTGGACACCTGGAAGGTTCAGTCCAGCAGAGGGTCTCTAGATAGCTCGGATTCTGACTTGAGGCAATTCCACAGGGAAGCCTTGAGAGTATTCTAAAACTGAGGATTTTGGAATTGTTCGAAAGTACAGTTGCTGGGTGCAAGCAGGCATGAGCTTGGATATCAAATCTCCTCCTGACACTTTGTAAGATTTCCAAATCTCAGCCTAGCCGAGACGGCTCAGAACTAACAGCAAACCCTAGAACACTGTCTGCCCTCCTTGCTTTAGGAAAGGGCATCTGGGTGTAATGACCTATAACCACTTACACTAGTCGTTGGGCTCCGGGGCATTTCTCCTGTGTTCAGAGGAAGCCCTACCTTCAGGAGAATGAGAAATGGTCAGAGGAAATGCCAACTAAGTCCTTAACTCAAAACCCTTCGACTACTCAGGACACTGTGACTGCCCAGAGGCTAGAATCTTTGTAACTTTCCCCATTCATATCTCTTCTCATCCTCGGATTTCTCAGCGTAGAAAAAAGGCCAACAATGCTTTTCTCAGTGAGCAATCAGGAGAGGAAGGCTGAAGACTCTGCCCCCCCCCTTCGCCCCAATCCGATAGCTTGGTGTGTGCAGCCAAGGGAGAAAGAGCATAAAGTACAGGCCCGGCAGGACAGACTGACAGCTTGGTCCACAGTCAAACCCCAACTACACCCTAGGGAGAACCCTAAACAGCGAGTTTAAACTAAACTGCCTTCTAGACATGTGTGCTCACCACAGACAGTGCTGCCCTCAAGCGTGGCCAGGGAAGCCTCTCTGCAGTGGTCAGCAGGTACTGACGGAAGTGCTGAGAATAAGTAAGAGACTACCAGCACTCAGCCCTCACTGGGACATCCATCCTCAGAAGCGGGGGTGGGGAGGACGTGGGACCCAGAGGATGGAGTGGGGTGCAGTGACACACCGTCTTCAGGACATGGCGTGCCCATTGCACCCATGGGCTCATTTCAGCGGTAGTCACCTGCACGGGGTCATGTCAACAAGATCAGGTGACATCTGAGAGGCAGCATTAACTGGACTCAGCGGACTATTAACACAAAAGAAAGGGAAGAGAGGAAGGGGCATGGAGGGAAGCAGGGCATGTTGGGTATCTAGAGGGAGTAGATGGAGGAGTCGGGAGTTCTTCCAGAGAGCCCGGGTTACATGTGACCAAGATGCACTGTTTACATGTATGAAAATGCCTAAGAATAAATAAAGGCTATGTTATTAATTAAAAAAAAAAAACACCTAGCTGGGTGGTGGTAGCCCACGCTTTTAATCTCAGCACTTGGGAGGCAGAGGCAGGGGGAATCTCTGTAAGTTCAAGGCCAGCGTGGTCTACAGAGTGAGTTCCAGGACAGCCAGGAGCCAGGACTGTAACACAGAGAAATCCTGTCTTGAGAAAAAAAAAAAACTATACCTCAAAAACTCAGTATGCTTATCTGTAAAGTGGTTCTGAAAACAGTAGCTAGAACTTGGGTTGTCATGCAGTTTAAACAAACAACAAATTCAATGCACTTCACACAGAGCTCAGAACACACTAAGTACACAGAAGCTAATATTATTATTAACATTGTAGATGACCTTTACCCTCAAAGGCCACTCATTCCTCTATAACAACAATAGAATAGTTCCCGGAACTCATACAGACACAAAACTACAGATTCCAGTCTCTTATATGAAATGATCTATCTGAATATAACCTATACATCCTCCTTTGTTATTTTAACATCTCTAGATGACTATTAGTACCCAGTATATAATATAAATGCCAAGTATATAGTAATTACATGGATCAGGAAATAATGAATACACACACACATACACACACACACACACACACACACACACACACACACACACACACGTGCATACACATATACAAACAGCCAGGCATAGTGGTTCACACCTGGAATCCCAGCACTCAAGAGGCTAAGGTAGGAAGACCTCAGTTACATAGGGATTTGGAGGCTAGCCTGGTCTACAAGAGACCCTGTCTAAAAACTCAAAAAGTATGTATACTTTTAGTATAGACATAAGGTTTTCCAAACATTTTTCATGCACGATTTGTCCAATCTACAGATAAGGAATCTACAGATACAGAGACAGCCTAGTTTCTGAACACCATAATTCTACTTGCCCAGACCCCAATTCTACTCAAGATGGCTGAATGCCAGACTCCCAGGGGCTACAGTGATGATCTCTCTCCTCCTAGGCCATCCATCCCATCTCTAGTTCTCTGCATTAGGCTGGAGTTTCCTCTTTTTCTCTCTCCTTTCTCACTCTCTTCCCCCTCTCGTTTTTTCTTCATTCAAACATGGTTTTCCTTGTTTTTCAAGACAGGGTTTCTCTTGGCTTTGGAGCCAAGAAACTAGCTCTGCAGACCAGGTTGGTCTCAAACTCATAGAAATCTGCCTGCCTCTGCCTCCCAAGTGCTGGGATTAAAGGCCTGAGCCACCACCACCTGGCTTCAAAGCCAGTTTTCTACAAAACAAAACAAACAAAAATCTGGGCAGTGGTGATGTACGCCTTTAATCCCAGCACTCCAGAGACAGAAGCAGGAGGATCTCTGTGAGTTCAAGGCCAGCCTGGTCTACAGAATGAGTTCCAGGACAGGCTCCAAAGCTACAGAAAAATCCTGTCTCTAAAACAAAACAAACAAACAAACCCGGCTTTCTTGTTAATATGTTTTGATTCCCTCCAGTTACTACAAGAAGTCACATCTAATGTCCTACAGAAATTAATCAAGAAGTTAGAAAAAAAACATTACAGCTAAAAGTCACCTTATACCCTAAGAGGAATTATTACTGCAGTACAGAACTTTTAAACAAATAGTACAGGTTTTCCCACAAGCCTTACCTGTGACTTCGGCGATGAATTCTTGGGACCAGTCAGTCTCATTATAATCCTGAGCTACATCCACAGCATCTCCAGCCGCAAGAAACTCCTGGGCCCAATTCTCAGACAAGGCCAAGTCTGCTATACCAGGGGCTAAAAAGAGACAAGAGAAGACTAAGAAAAGGGAAACAAGCACCCATCACTCCGGAATACCACCTCCTTTGTCTCCTCACTCTGCTGACACCAGCAAAGTCATAGGATAGGAGCCCTCCGGCCTCTGTGCACAGAAAACACTGGTCTTCTTTCTCACCAGGCCCTCAACCTACCTCTCTGAGGTGCCTGGCGGAAGTTTGACTGTTCAATCTCCTGCATCTCTGCCAGGAGGTCATCCATCTTGAAGGTCTGAGGGGCCCGGGATACAAGGGGTGCATTCTGGTCCTGCAGGAATTCTGCCACCAACTATTACAGAGAGATAGTGAGATGAACTGTTAGGATCAGAGGGCCTCAGAAAGGGGCAGGACAGACTAGATGGGGATACTGATGTCAGAGAGATAGAAAATAGACACTGGAGACAATAAAGAAAAAAGCATCCATCTGTAAATTTGGAAACCAAAAGGAGTAGAAGAAAGCATTGGCATACAAGGAGAGAGTTCAACGTGAAGTATGAGTGGACTGTTTAAAGGTTAAAAAAAGTCATCATGGACCAAAAAGAGAGAGACAGACAGACAGAAAACTTGCTTTATTTACCTCATCTTCAGAACCTACTCCCAAGGGCTTGGAAACCTAAGAAGGAAGAAAAGAAGCAATAACACAGTCAGGAAGGGCACAGGCATCCGGAGTAGCCCCAACTTTAACTTTAGGTGACCTAAAGCAAGTGATTAAGCCTTCACAAAGCCTCGGCTTCTTTGTCTATAAAACAGTTGTCCTTGTCTGTGTACAGATGCACAGTGCTCACCCCATCGTCACTGAGTGGTAACTGCTATTCCTTGTAACAACAGAGAAAGCACCTATTGGGCTGACAAATGGGCTCTCCTGCCCTAGAACACTCACCGTCTCGGCGGCTGAGGCTCCTGGGGGCCAAGGGCCAGGCCTCAGTCCCTCCTGCCGAAGGGCCTTGTCCTGGGTGAAGTGGGTGGCCAGCTTCATGAGCGGGTTAGCACCCCCACACTCGCCCTCCACCAGCTCCCCGCATTGCCATGGTGACCACCAGCTCCCCTGATGGACACAAGATTAGAACTGTGGTCCCAGAGTCGGACTTTCCCAACGCACGCTTCGGCCCTCTAGAGCAGGTGGGCCCACGACTGTCCCACGCGGGCCAGGCCTCCAGGGCCAGGCGTCCTGCCGCTCGCTGGTCACCCCCTAGCTGTGTCCGGAGTCCAGGGGGAGTCTGTTTCGTCCTGCCTCCCCACTCCAAGCCTCGGCTTTCGGTTCGGGTCCTCCCGCAGCTGTCAGGACTGCATCTCAGACGCCACCCGCCAACTGCAGCCCGACAAATGGGCCTGGACCCCTGGGGAGCACGGGCACCGCGTCATCAACACGCCTAGACGGGGACTGCGACCGGACCAGAGAGAGCAGGATCGCCGACCGACCGCACACCTGGACCCGCACTCCAAGTCGGGGGTGCGCTGCGGGACCGATCCCCGTCACCTGAGCCCCTCCCCCGCCGGGCCGGCCCCGGCCCCGCGCCCCCAGTCCCGCTGGCCCAGCCCCGCCCCCGCTCCCGCTCCCGCCCCGCAAGGCCACCGCAGCAGCGGAGACTCGCGGCCCCGACCCCGCGCCCCCAGGCTCCGATGCTCACCGCCGCGGGCCGCACCGCAGGACCCGCCGGGGCACCCGGGGTGGGCTGGGGGAGGGAGGGGCGGGAGCCAGGGGCGGGGCTCAGCCTTAAAGGGGACGGGACGGCCGCGCTGCGGCCCAGATCAACGGAAGCTGGTGAGGGGGCGGGGCCTTGAGCTGCGCGGCGTAATGGGCGGAGCCAGGAGCCTTAAAGGGGAAGTCCTGGCCAGTTGGCTTGGCGAGCTCTCCAGTAGTCCCTAGAACGCCAGGATTTATTTTCTGGAAAATTCAGAGAAATGGAGCTAGCTAGGAAAGGCTTCTCGGGCTTTGGAAGGGAGCCAAGGTTGCAGGATCCAAGGCTCAACTCTCTTTCCTGGGTCTTCTCTCTCTCTCTCTCTAAATCGGCCAAACAGAACCTGGGAGATTTCGTGGGGTCAAATCCGTGACCTGCTTCGGCCTTGTGGACCTCACCCCCGCCCCCACCCCCACCCCTTCCAACGTGCTCCTTCAGGACAACGTCACAGCCTCCAAGGAGACCGAGGCTTGCCCCCAATTCCTCTCCCTTGCCTGTATAATGAGGAAAATTGCGCCGGATGATGACAAATTCTGGTGACTAAAATAGGGTCCTACGCATTCTGAGACCTCAAACCGGTAATGGATGGGAACGGTGCAGTGAGTCACTCCTTTCTCCTTCCAACATCACTACTGCTCAAGGTCATGATGGCCTGATTCCCTCAGCTCCAAGTTGGGAGAACGTGGCAAGAAATACCTTTGATGGGGGGGTGGATATGAACCTAAGCCTCAGGCTCCACCATCTGCCAGAGAACCTCAAGGGAAATAAACCTTGACGTCTCACCTAGGTCCAAGACCAAGGGACTCCTTGACGTCGTGGGGAAGGGGAGGGGTTCAGAGTGCTGGCTGGTGGGCTCGGATGAGATTAATGCTAGAAAAGCCAGACCATGCGGAAGCAGATAGTCAGCAGGTGGCGCTCTGGGGCAGGCTTTATCTTTACAGCAAAGGTAGCCTCACTTGGGGAATACAAGCTGTGTAAATCCATCCCTAGAAAGATAGGAATTGCCCTTATAGCAACAATGGTTAAATAAGGCAGAATATTGTGCAATGCTTTTGCCTTTAGTACATTGTCGATATTGTTCAGAGGCTCTAACCCCTATTTTCCAATTTACAATAAATCCCAGCCCCTCGGGTGTCCCCACTGATCCTAGGCTACCATTGTAAAGAAAAAAAGAAGAAGAAAAAACAAACAAACAAAAACTAGATCGAATAAACTAACCGCACCAAGGAAAAAAGGACGCCCTCTTAGAAGATGAACACTTAAAACAGGAGGCTGTCTGGAGAAAGCAGTGTTTAAGGAAACATGTAATGTTAACATCAAGGAAACAGGAAAGCATCTCCCAGTAACACTCAAAGCACACCACACACATAGCCTTCTGCTCTGCTAGGAGTTTAGTAACTGATTAGCAGTAATTCACTATGCCAAGCTCTTGGGAGAATGGTTGTAATAATAACTAAAGCTTATGAAATGCGTGTTAAACCCCAAGTGTTACACTAAACACTTGGTGAGCACTAGCACTTTTAATCATCATAATCTTCATAATACTCCTATGAAAAAGATATTACTTACAAATAAGACTCGTCCGAAAATCAAACATCTGGGAAGTCAGAATCCAGAGCTGGCAAGATGGCTCAGTAGGTAAAGGCATTTGTATACAGGCCTAATGGCCTAAATTTAATTCCGGGTCCCACAAAGTGGCAGAGAGAACTGATTCCCTCTGAGAGCTGTCCTCTGACCTCTACACACACACACACACACACACACACACACACACACACACACACTTTAATCAATGCAAGCATAGTTCCAGGCACTGACCCATATACAATCCTGCCTTCCATACTTGGAGATGTCATCCTTGTAGAGCCTAGAGAGCTTTGATGTAAGCCAAAGACTTCACAGAGTCTAGCCCACAGTCCCAGAGGTGTTGGAGAAAGACTAAGTTATGTGGGTGCTTAATATTTTGATATTTAGCCCATTGGGTTTCTAATGTGAAATCAAATCTTCATCTAAGTTCAACTTTAGAGCCATATTTCTAGCCATAAAATAAATATTTTTTATAAAGCAAAGGTAAATATTCCTTAATATTTAACCAATTCAACAGGCTGAAATCCTCTAATTTTCCGATATATGTTTACCATGCCAGGTATGGTTTTAAGCACTTTTCAAATATTCATTTATGTAATCCACTTAATAATAACTATTAATATTAAGCTGTCCCCATTCAAGAGGTAAGAACATTGAGACTCAGAAGTGTTGGGACTTTCCCAGGGTGCTGTCATTTCACAATAGGGGGAGGGGCATGGCTGTGTTACATTCAGAGTTCTTAGTGGTATATAATTTTCATGACAAGCCATTCTTTTGACTTTGAAGCAAAAAATGTTTTAAAACAGAAAAAACAAACAAACAAAAAAAAAAACTTAGCTTTTAGACTCTGCAGAAACTGGGAGTGGCCAGGCCCTGCTTTGCTGACCACTGACCTGGAGAGTCCAGTTCCAAAGTCCATATTCTTTTTATTTATTTATTTTTATTTTATTGGTGTTTTACCTGTATGTATGACTGTGTGAGGGTGGAGTTACAGACAGTTGTGAGCTGCCATGTGGGTGCTGGGAATTTGACCCTGGTCCTCTGGAAAAGCAATCAGTGATCTTAACCACTGAGCCATCTCACCATCCCCTTTTAAGTGTGTGGTCCAGGATGGCCTCAGACTCGTGGTCCTCCCACCTCCATCTCTTTCATCAAATCCTTCTGGTGTGCACCACCACAATGGGCGTCCGTATTCTTCAAGGCCGCACTGCGCTCTACTTTTGTTTTTCAATTTGGTTTATTTTTGTTTTTGTGACAGGGTCTCACTCTGTAGCCCAGGCCAGCTTCACACTTGCTGTAATCCTCCTGCCTCAGCTCCCTGTGTGCTAGGATCATGGGCATGACCTGCTATGTCTAGCGTTGGTGGGAAGAGGCATTATGAGCATTCCCATGTATCCCAGGCTAGCCCCGAGTTCCTGGTCCTCTTTCTGCTTTCTGAATCTTAGGATTGCACACATGTGACATCACATTTAGCCCCTTACCACCTTTTGGGGAGATGAACTCTGTCCCTGCCATGGATCCCTACGCCAATTCCCTGACCAATAATGAAATCTAACTCATGTTACAACCTTGCCTACTTTGTGTCCTTTAAGTGCCAATAATTTACACAATCTCATCACTTGAATGAGTAAATTTATTTGTATGTTTTCAAGTCCACGTTTTTTTCTTTTGAAGGGGGATGCTTTAGCCTTTGTTGTTTTTGTTTTTAAGATGAGGAATCAGCCATGCATAATGGCACACACCTTTGATCTCAGCAGTCAGAAAACAGAGGCAGGCAGCCCTTTGTGAATTTGAGGCCAGCCTGGTCTACATAATGAGTTCCAGGACAGCCAGGAGTATATAGAGATATCCTGTCACAAAGAAAAACAAACTTGAGTGATGGGAGATGCCATTATGTATATATGTTTCTCATACTGGTTAATAATAAAAGCACTGTTGGCCAATAGGAAAGGAATATAGGAGGGACTAGGAGACAAGGAGGAAACTGGAAGTAGTAAGGAAGAGTCAAGATGGAGAGTCTGGAGAGAGCAGTATGCAGCAGCCGGCTCCCGGTAAGAAGACCACGTGGAAATACATAGATTAACACAAATGGGTTAATACTTAAGACAGAGAGAGCTAGCCGATAAGAAAGTAGTAACTGGCCAACAGTATAACATCTAATACAGAGTCTCTGTGTGTTATTTGGGGCTGGCGGCGGCAGGACAAGACCAGCGGTGGCAGGAGGAAAAAACCTTACCCCTTACACTTGAGGATCCAACCCAGGCCTTGCCATGCTATATGAGTGCTCTACCGTTGAGCCCCGCCCCCCAGCTCTGTTTCTTGGGTGTTTAAATAGATGCGGAGTAATGCAAGTAGTCTCCATACTCTGGAAATCGCAAAACAAGGTCCAGTTTTCACACAGACACATTTGGAAGGATCTGTTGGTTACAAGTGTCCACCGCTCCTTCAGCCTCAGTAGTCATCACTGACAGAGACAACGAGACAACAGAAGAAAGTTGCATGTGCAGTAAGATGCAGCCATTTCCAAAGCCAGGCCCCCGAACGTACCTGGGAGATAGCAGTCTGTTTTAATTGTTCAAAATAGCAATAAGTACAAAGTCCAAGGCACATCTAGCACTACCCACCTAGGTTTGGGTTCAAAGTACCTACCTCACCCCCATTTGTCCCAGGGAATTTTCCCCAGAGAAGAAGGTAGTGCACACACCCTTTACCCCTGTGTCTTAGTCCATTCCACCTGCTATAAGAAAACACCTCGACTAGGTGACTTATAGGCAAGATCAAAGCACCAGCAGGTTCAGTATCTGATGAGGCTCTTGCCTCCTCATAACACCTTGCCTCTGCATCCCACAGAAATAAGAGGCAACGACCTCTCTGGAATCTCTTCAACAGGTCCTGCTCTCATTCACGATGGAGAGTTCTCTGACCTCATCACTTCTCAGACACCTGCTAGGGCCATCAACCTTGGCGGTGGGTTTTGGCTTGTGAATTATGGATGATACAAACTTGTGGTTTGAATGTGTGTTTCCCCACGGATCATGTGCTGGCAGCTTGTCCCCAGGATGGCAATTGTGACAAGAAGAAGCTTTAAGAATGAAGCCAATTGGAAGGTTCTGTGAATACAAAGAAGGAAGGGAAAAGGATGGGCGCTTCCTGCTTGAGATTGCTTCCCCCAAATAAGTGGTTTTGCACCCTTTTCATTATATTTTCACCAATCTCTTCAGTATGCTGAACAAATTGTGTGTGTGTGTGTGTGTGTGTGTGTGTGTGTGTGTGTATGGAAACATATGTTTGGGGGCTTTTGCTTTGGGGAGAATGAAATAAACACTTTACTCTCTTCCTTCGTTACATATAGCCGAAATTAGTATAAAAACTAATGTACAAAGACTCTGAAAGGTGAATAAATGAATAGCAGACCAAGGACTGTAGAATCCCAGGAAACAGCATAGAGATTTCTTTTTGCATAACATTTCCCAGGCATGGGAAAAATAGGAAAAAAAAAAAACTGTTGTTTCCATAGATTGCAGCGAGGAGCTGCTCTGCTATCTACAAAACCCTGACCCAGAAGCAGGTGGTCTACCAATGGTTCAGCTCCAGGTTCCACCCGAACCAGCATCGACATGAGGGCAGCCCCCTTTCCAGCCCACACCTGTTTCCAGGGACCAATGGCTATCTGAAATAGTCCCTGGTCCAGACGCTGCACCCAGGAAGGTGCACCGGACAGGCAAGGGATAGACAGGGAGCCGGCTATCCAGGGCCAACCTAGACTCCTTCGGTGCTCACTACAGGAGGCTGCCAAGTATTCTGCCTGGACGGGATTCTTACTTAGAGGTGTTTACTCATAATCCCACAGATGGTAGCTTTGCCCCATTTGGCTCCTCAGCCAAGCACATACACCAAATGTCTGAAGGTGACGCTCGCCTTTAATCCCAGCATTCGGGAGGCAGAGGCAGGCAGATCTCTGTGAGTTCGAGACCAGCCTGATCTACAGAGCTACTTCCAGGTCAGGCTCCAAAGCTACACAGAGAAACCCTGTCTGGGGGATGGGGGAAGCGGGGGGGGGGAGGAGACTGTTGTTTCTTTAGCCAAACAAACAAGAGAGAGACAACCTACAAGACAACATCCAGACAATGACCACTCTAGCAGGCAGAAGACTGGACCCTGGGCCAGCACCAGAAAAGGCCAATGAGGGACCCAGGGCTTTCCACGCCCACTGGCCAGTAATGAGGCTCCCCCAGGCACCCACAGAGGTTTGCAGGGGCAAGAGCAGTGAAGCCCTCATGCACGTGGGCGCCATGGGAAACCTATGCCTCGTCGCCATCTGGCAGCAGTGAGGCTCACATCTCCCTCCCCTGAAAATGGTATCTTTTTAAAATTTTAGTTAAGGTCGAAGGCTTAGATAAGACCCAGAGTCTCATAGCACACTGCAAAAATGTTCAGGTATCAATCAAAACGCCCTCACCATACCAAGAACCCAGAACATCTCAAGCTGGGCTATATCAACATAAACACTCAGTTCCGAGATGATAGAGGCACTAGCATTATCTTAAGGCACTTACAGTTTAAGAAAGGGCTTCCTTAGCACAAAAGAGAATTACTTCCGTGGAGAAAAGAGATCAGCAAGAAGGGGAGTGTGGAGATGGGCTAGAGTGGGGCCAAATAAAAACAAAGTGTAATGATATATGCACAAAAATATCACAATGTCACTTATTTATGTTCTAATCAAGTAATTTAAAATGTTTCATTGAGCAGCTATAAACCTATGTGAAGCAAACAAAACACACAGAACCAGGCTGGGAATTCAGTGGTAGAGCACCTGCCTACTATGTGTGAAGCCCCAAGTTCGTGTCCAACACCAAAAATTACAGAACAAGTAGAAGACATATTTAAAGTATTGCTACCACGGCATGCCTGGTACCGCACCGCTCTAAAAGGCCAATGACTCAGGTACAGGTTTTTGGGCCAAAGGAGAAGATTTACTTAAAAAGCCACCAAACCAAAGATGGATGGCATGGCCGACAAAGACTCTTGGAGAACTAAGGTGTTCTCTGTGTTACAGTGAAAGAAAGGGGAGCTGGGACAATAGGCAAGAAAGAGATGCTGGCTGAAGGCTTGTAGACAATGCCCTGTGGACCTGGAGTAGGATGCTCTCTTAGCTGCCTTCATCTTGATGGTATCGGCCCTGGAGGGGAACTAGGCTTAGGTAGGTTTAGGTCAAATTAATCATATAGTTCCAGAGAAGACATTTCTGAAGTGGCTAATATGACTTTGTGAAGAGTTGAGTGGAAATCTGTCCCAAAGGTTAAGACAGCAGAGGATACTGATACAATCCGGAGGCGGCAATACCAAGCTTGATTGGTCCTGTCTTAGTCATTCTTGAGTCATCCGTATGTCCGTGTGAAAAGTCAGTGCTTTCAGCAGAAGAGGCCTTCAGGTCCCTGAAGAGTAACCTAAGCAATCACATCCGCATGTCTCAGAGGTTATGTACCACAAAGCCAGTGGGGAACAATAAAATATGGACCAGGTGTATAGCCTTCCAAATTAGCTAACTACAAACAAGTAAGTAAGAGTTCATTCATGCTTTCGCATGGTTACAAAACCAAATGGGAAGTTTAGAACTGAAATATACAGTAGTCAATTAACAGACATTAAAAGGTTCACTAATAGGATGAATGAGACAGAGGAAAAAATCAGCCACTTGGGCAATGAGACATTAGAAATTACTCAAGCTGAACAGCACAGGAGAAACAAACCATAGGGGAAAAAAACAAATAAACAGAGCTAGTGCCTGTGGGGCCCATTATGAAAGATCCAGCACCTGCATTTTCAAAGTGCTGGGGGAGGGGCGGCTGAGAGGGAAGGGCTCACTGGCTAGTTACTCTAGCCAATTCCCGGCCAGTGACAGATCCTTTCATGGAAAAACAAAGATGGACATCATCTGAGAACTAATACCTGACGCTGTCCTCCAGCCTCCATATGTGCCCACATATACACCTGCATAGACACACACACACACACACACACACACACACACACACACACAGGCAAGGATAACACAGTAACTATTTGTAGAATAGCAATAAAGAACAACTTGACTACTATTGGATTTTGAGCCATGCTAATTATGTTCTGAGGTCAGAGAGAGAAACAAGGTCAAGTTCAAATTTCAGTTTATTGTCGTTAAACCCAAGTCAGAGGATATAGTTTTAGTCTGTGGGACAAGTTGGCTGATGCAATTCCACTTGTAAATCCAGGGCTTCGCACAGCTCCCCAGGGAATCTGAGGTCTGTGGAGACACAGTCATCTCAGACATCATACCTGCTCTGCAAACTGCAGGTATAAGAAAGTTCTCACGCTTCTCATATATTAGTTTCACCTGGTTTGAAAATCATGGCTCGATGAATGTCAGCCTCACCAGATCTTAGATAACTCTCACTGTGGAGGCCAGTAGCACCATGCTGCCTTGAGGGACAAGAGAAACCATTCATTGTCTTTATCCACTGATCTTGGGCATCCGTTAAGTCTGTTGTCGACCAAGGGTGCGGCGTCTTCTATAAAAAACAGATCTGCTCCCCATCATGGCACTACTCCCCAGGAACAGCCACTCCCGCTTTGGGAATGGACCTACAGCAGGATGTACAGCATAGCTCCCCTCCCAGAATGTTCTGAGACTGTGTAAAGACTTCAGATTCATTACATTACCTTAAAGGCTACTCTGTAGCTAAGGCTGACACTCTGCTGCTCAGTTACCCTCCTCTTGTGTACGCTCAGCCCCGCTACCACTCCAATTCCCAGAAGGCCTTGCAGAAAGAGTGAATAAAGTGATAGGAACACTTTATTCTTGGTGTCCTTTTTAAAAAGGGCAGCACTTAGGAAACTGAAGCAGGAGGATTGCCACAAACTGTAGGCCAGCCCAGACTACACAATGAGTTCTAGGCCAGCCGGAGCTACAGAGTGAAACTCTGGAGAGAAAGAGAGAGGAGGTAGGAGAGGGAGAGAAGAAGACAGACAAATTTTAACACACGTCTCTTAACATTTATTTCATATATTTTATTAAAACAATACATAATGCCATTGAGATGGCTCAGCAAGTAAAAATGCTTTCTGCCAAGTCTAATGACCTCAGTTCAGTCCCTGGAACCCACCTATGAAAGTAGGAAGCTCCTCAAAGTTGGTCTCTGACCATGTGAGTACTGTACATTACACATACACGTGTGCACACACAAAATTAACAATGTTTAAAGGTATAATATGTCAAAAGTTATAACCAACTTTTATCTATCATACTGGCCACTCATCTGTTTTTTAATTTAGTATATTAATTGTGCAAAACATTACTTTACACATATATAACGTACCTTACATTCTCGTATGTGTATGCAATGTACTTTGGTCTTTCATTCCATTTGACTCTCCTACCCATCCTATCCCCCTCTGATCCTTCTCTCTCTCCCCCTTCTCTCACAAATTAAAAGAAAGAAGAAATTTAGGTCAGAAAGCAAAAGGACACTTCATGCTTTGTACGAAATACACATTTAAAATAAACTCATGCTGAAATGGCGAAAATAAGAGTAGATAAGAGAAAGCAAAACCAAACAAAAAGAAAGGATTACAAGGTAAATGTCAAACAAAATAAATTCAGGTCCAAAAGCACTACATGAGGAGAAAATCCACTTTATAACGCTAACATGTACAATTCCCATGAAAACAGTACCTTTCATAAATATCCAGACAGCGTGTAATTGAGGCGCAATACAAGAGCTCTTCCATCGCAGTCTGAGGAAGGTGGGGTAGGGTCGGGCTAGGACTGCTCACAATGGCTAAACTGTGGAACAACCTAGATGCCCAACAGCAATAGAATAGATAGAAAATGTGGCAAAGGACACCATCAACCTGTTTCAGCCATGAGCTAGAATGAAGTTAGGCTCCTTGCAGGAAAATGGATGCGCTGAAGATGGTCACATCAAAGCAAATAAAGTCATCTCGGAAAGACATGTATTTTCTCTCATCAGTGGCCCCTATATTTTATACAGTCACATAAAATTGTGTGTGTGTGTGTGTGTGTGTGTTTATATAAAATGGAATCAGAAGTGAAAATGTCTAGGGACAAAGAGGAGTGGAGAGGAGCAAAATAACGGAGATAGAGGGGCTGTGGCAGTATATGTCAGTATATGTGAATTTTCTGTATTTTATACTTTATTTGTGTTTATGAGCATAGGTGTTTTGCCTACATGTATGGCTGTGCTTGCCTGGTCCTCACAGAAACCAGATCCCCTGGAACTGGAGTTAGAGATGGCTATGAGTCACCATGTGGGTGCTAGGAATCAAACCTGGGTCCTCTGGAAGAGCAGCCAGTGCTCTTACAGCCTGAGCTGTCTTTCCAGCCCCAGATTTTTTTTAAATAAATAAATACTCATGTGCAATCAGTTTGTAAAGTGTTTGCCACATAAGCATGAGTGAGTACTTGACTTTAGATCACCAGCCCCCATGCAAAAAGCTAGGCATGTCACTGCCCACCTGTAGCCCCAGAACCAGGGAGGCAGAGGCAGGAAGATTCCTGGTGCTTGCTGGTCAACCAGGAGCCAAACTGGTGAGCTCTGGCCTCCACACTCATGTGTACAC